ATCCAGTACAGACTGGCGCTTCAGTGGTGGCTGAGATTGTGCCTCGTGCTGCAGATGTTGGATATCTGGTCACTAAAGTTGTGGCTGTTGATGTGGACTCTGGTCAGAATGCCTGGCTCTCCTATAAACTACAGAAAGCTGCAGACAGAGCGCTGTTTGAAGTGGGTTTACAGAATGGAGAAATAAGAACTGTGCGACAAGTGACTGATAAAGATGCTGTCAAACAAAAACTCACTGTTGTTGTGGAGGATAACGGACAGCCCTCTCGCTCAGCTGTGGTCTCCATTAACGTGGCTGTGGCTGACAGCTTTCCTGAAGTGCTGTCAGAGTTCACAGACTTTACGCATGAGAAACAATATAACGACAACCTGACTTTTTATTTAGTTCTGGCTCTTGCAGTGGTTTCCCTGCTCTTCCTAGTCTCCATTATTTCCATCATTTCAGTCAAAATCTACAGATGGAGGCAGAATAAGTTGTTTTATAAATCAGGAGCAAATCTACCTGTAATTCCATATTATCCTCCTGTCTACGCAGACGGCACATTACAGCACGTGTATAATTATGAAATGTGTGGGACCACAGACTCAAGGATGAGTGACGTGAAGTTTGTCAGGCCCTACAGTCAGAACACACAGGTCAGCCAGAGTCGTTTGGGGACAGTTCAGAGAGAAAGGAAGGAGCAGGAGGTTGATGAGCTGACTTTAGAGGTGAGACTCTTCCACATACTGTATGTCCTCACTGCAGCAGCAGGTGTTTAAAGCTTAAAGTGCTGTACTTCATATAGAGAATTTGCAAGACATCAACCTATATCTGTATGTGTTAGCAGATGTTGTATATGATGTTTTGAGAAAATGAACTGCATTTAGTGTATCAGGTGCAAAAATGGTGCATAGAGAACTCAGTTTCTCCCACACAGCTACAGTACAGACAAACACACACCCACTCACCCACACACACACACACACAATCATGTTTGTGTTGTTAATTGTGAGCATATTCCATTGGTTGATTGTTTTTATATTATACAAATTGTATTTTCTGTCACCTTACATATAACACTACTATTTATGGAATCTGCATTTTTACCTTAATATAAAAATAATTTATAATAATTCTATATGATTTAAACTCCTCTTGGAAAAAAAATATGGACATAGGGCAATGTCTTCAATAATCACATTCTTCTTGTAACACCTATACAATACCTATGTAAATTTACATATTTTGTTCTTATAGATCTTGAAAACACCCACACCCATACACACACATGCTACACACACAGAGAAAGTAAGAGGAAGAGTGTTTGTTTCTCTGCTTCAACACTCTTTTTGGGCCTTTTTGATACTTCACGTCTTTATAAAACCATGATTTGATGTTTGTCTATAGCAGGGGTGTCCAAACTCAGTCCTTAAGGGCCAGTGTCCTGCAGATTTTGGGCTCTATTTTGACCATCCATGCGCAAAGCGCAGGGCACAAAAGCAATAAGCGTGTGTATGAATCCACTTTTGCTATTTTAAGGATGGAAAAATCTGCTTTGCACCGTGGCGCATGGTCTAACAGTGTTTAGCTTATTCACTTAATGAGTTATAGGTGTGTTTTGAGAATAAACTAATCAGAGTCTCATCTCCCATTCCCTTTAAGAGTTAGTTGTGTCGCGCCATGGCTTCACTAAAGAGAAAACAGTTAAACAGAGCATCTACAGAACAAGAATGAGAGATGAGCCTCTTCATTCTTTACTATCACTTTCACTCTCATGGATAGGGAAACGTGTTGTATGCACAGATATCCATTAGCCTATAAATAATTAATTTAGTTTATTATGCGCAAAGATTTGTTTTAAAACTATTTCTAAATTCAGTTCTAAGTTCGAAGTGTGTTAAAAAAACTGAGTTATATCCAAATACACATGCTGTGCCCCATATGGTCTAAAACCTGACAGGTGGGCAAATCTAAGCTTGTTTTTAATAAAACAAATATAAATATGCATATAATAAATAATACTGTTACTAATAATAACAATATACAAAAGAAAATTGTCATGAATAAACTAAAAAAAGCCACCTGAGATGAAGAATGCATGGAGGGGCGGTTTTTATTTTCATGTAGGCTAGAAAATAATAATTTTGTGGTATTTTAATCCTTTAATTATTTTTCATTTGTAAAGATATTTGCGTATTGCTTTACATCCTGTAAGCATTAGGCAATGTTTAAGTGAGGCGCACAACTAATGCGCTCTGCGCTGGACTTTAGACCAGCTTTGATCTGGTCTATTGTGCAGCCTATTATAGTTCCTCAAAATAGCAATGCACCTTAACACGCCTCCTTTTTTAGACCAGGATGCCTATGGGCACACATATGAGCGCAAATGCATTTGCTATTTAAACAATGTGGTGCAAAACGTAAAAATGACTCTTGTGTTGAGCTGAAACTGCCAAACAACAATTGCATTGCGTCTTGCCCAGCATTGCGCCGGGTGTATGATAGGGCCCTTTAGGTCCTACTTGCCTCAACACACTTGCTAGGTTGTTTCTAAAAAGCCTAGTACAGGCATGTCTAAACTCGATCCTGGAGGGCCAGAGTCCTGCAGATTTGAGCTTCAACCCCTATCAGACACACCTGGGCTAGCTAATTAAGCTCTTACTAGGCTTTCTAGAAACATCCTTGCAGGTGTGTTGAGGCAAGTTGGAGCTAAAATCAGCGGGACACCGGCCCTCCAGGACAGAGTTTGGACACATCTGGCCTAGTAAGAGCTTGATTAACTTGCCCAGGTGTGTTTGATTGGAGTTGGAACTAAACTTTGCAGGACACTGGCCCTCCAGGACTGAGTTTGTACACCACTGGTCTATAGCAATTGTTACAAAACGAATTATTTTTAATCTTTATTTTTGTAATTGACGAAAAACATACTGGGTGATCTCTTTCTAGAGAAAACCCCTTAGTATTACAATCATGTGTTATTTTAATAATTTATCTACCTCACACTGGCTCATGCTTTATGTTGTATTTTATATTTGCCATAAATATTTATGAATAAATTTTCACTATGTTGTACTTTGAGTACTTCAATTGATCTAATTCAAAACTTAATTTATGGCTAACTCAGTATATAAAGGTTTTGTGATCCAGCAAATATTCTTTTGTCATTTCTACATTTTTGCATTCTGGCAATGCTGAAAGATTTTTTAAAGTTTTCAAAGTCATTACTCAATGTAAAAATCTTTTTTTTTTCACAGAACTGATGACTCTGAATAAAAATCATATGATTTATAAACTGACATACAACATCAACCTTTTACTGACTATTCAGATATTTGTGTGGTACCTCTTTACAAGCTTAGGATGAAGTTGGCATAACTAATGCTTTAGCACTTGCTCCTTTTTTACGTTTTGTCTTTCACAGTGTTATTAGAACTTAAATAATGGCACAGTATGACAGAAATTGTCTGCAAACTAAAGTAATTTTTAATATTTTCTAGACAGCTTGTCGCAAATCTGTGTATATGGTCAGTTCAGGAAGTTCAGGGCAATGCACAATTATTTAAATCATGTACATAATTTATCATTTAAATTGATTGTTCACCCAGAACTGAAACTGCTTAAATCGTTTACTCAACTAATTACCTGTTCCAAACCTATTTCACTTTCTTTCTTCTGTTGAATACAAAAAAGACAATATTTAGAAGAAAGCTGGAAACCTGTAATTATTGATATCCATAGTTTTTGTTTTACTTATGAAAGTCAATGGTTACAGGTTTTTAGCTTTCTTTAAAATATAGTTGAAGTCAGAATTATTAGCCCTCTAATGATTGATTTTTTTTTTATTTAAATATTTCCCAAATGATGTTTAACAGAACAAGGAAATTTTCACAGTATGTCTGATAATATTTTTTTTCTTCTGGGGAAAGTCTTATTTGTTTTATTTTGGCCTGAATAAAAGGAGTTTTAATTTTTTTAAACACCATTTTAGGGACAAAATTAATAGCCCCTTTAGGCTAATTTATTTTTCTATAGTCTACAGAACAAACCATAGTTTTACAATAACTTGCTTAATTACCCTAACCCGCGTAGTTACCTAAATAACCCAGTTAAGCCTATAAATGTCACTTTAAGCCGTGTAGAAGTGTCTTGAAAAATATCCAGTAAAATATTATTTACTGTCATAATCATCAAGATAAAATAAATCAGTTATTAGAAATGAGTTATTAAAACTATTATGTTTAGAAATATGATTAAAAAAAATCTGCTCTCTGTTAAACAGAAACAGGGAAAAAATTAACAGGGGGGAAGAATAATGCCGGGGGGCTAATAATTCTGACTTCAACTGTATCTTCTTCATTGTTCAACAGGATAAAGAAACGTATAATTGTTTGTAACCATTTGAGGGTTAATAAATAGTGGATGATTTTTGATTTGGGGTGAACTATCCCTTTTAGCAAAAAAGAAAAAAAAGAAAAATCACTTTCCATTTTCCAAAAATCTATGAATTTAACCATAAATTACATCAACTGAAATTCAGTATTTTATTAAAGAGTATTAAAAATGTTAAAAATTAAGCAGATAATTCTATTGTACATTCGTCTAGACTTTATGCTGGATTAGGTATAAGTATTACTTAAAAAATAGCTCCTAATATTACTTTACGCTCTCTGTGTGATCACTTATTTATGACTCTCTTTAATCAAAGCTTTCTGCCTTTGTTTGATTTAGATTATTTTGCCCTGTGTTATGGATTGTGGAATGCTGAATGAATTTTGAAGGTTTTCTAGATGGAATTACTTAATGCAAAAGTACTGTGATCTCAGGAAGGTCAGCAGGCTTTACAGATCAACAAAATGTATTCATTCATTCATTTTCTTGTCAGCTAAGTCCCTTTTTTATTAATCCGGGGTCGCCGCAGCAGAATGAACCGCCAACTTATCCAGCAAGTTTTTATGCGGCGAATGCCCTTTCATAACAAAATTTCTCACAAGGAATATTGTATTCTTTAAAATTTATATATTTTTTAAATCAACCGACTTCTCTGTAGTGCTGTATTTGGACTCTAAGCGCCGCTGTTCAACACATATAATATTTCGAAAGCGTGTTTTATCCCTCCTTTTAATAAAACCCAGTGGCATAACTTAGATATCAACCTAGAGCATTGGGCGATGCGTAACTGATCACCAAATCGCCTTTCAGATTCGACTACAGGTTCTGTAATCTAGAGGGAAAGACAATTTGTTGGAAACATACAGAATACAATTCATTGTGCCTTTTGCTTTAAATGCATCCTCTTCATCTTTGTTGATCAAAAATGGAGTCGGGAGGAAAAGGCTGGAGATATGGCTCACTATTCTATGCGTTATGCGCAATGGCTTTATTTTCTCCTCGCGTGAGCGGGCAGATCCGTTATTCGATACCCGAGGAAATGCAGGTGGGCTCATTTGTTGGAAATATTGCCTTGGACCTAGGGATTGAGCCGAAGAGATTGGTTTCAGGAAAAGCGCGTGTTTTCACCGCGGACAGCAGGGAGTACATTGGCCTGGACAAGGAAAACGGACATCTGGTTATCAAGAATAAAATAAACAGAGAAGAGCTTTGTGGAGAGATTTCTGCCTGCAGTGTAAGTTTTGATGTGATTTTGGAGAATCCGATGGAGCTTTATCGAGTAACAGTTGACATACAAGACATCAATGACAACAGCCCCGTCTTTCCAAAAGCTAAAATTGAACAAGAAATAAGCGAATTAGCGGTTGTAGGTGCGCGATTTCCATTAGAGAGCGCGGTAGATCCAGACGTGGGAGTGAACGCGCTACAAAAATACACTCTTCAACCCACCGACCATTTTAAGCTTAATGTTCAGAGTGGTGATGATGGGAGTAAAAATATCGAGATGGTTCTTAATTCACCACTCGATAGAGAAAAGAAAAAGCATCATAGTTTGATTCTTACAGCATTCGATGGTGGAAGACCTCAAAGATCTGCGACTGTGCATATTAACATTATTGTCCTTGATGGAAATGACAACGCACCTGTGTTTAGTCAGTCATCTTACAAAACATCAGTTATTGAAAACGTTGCTAAAGGCACACTCGTTACTAAAGTCAGTGCTACCGATGCTGACGAGTCTAGTCACGGCATTCAGTATTATTTTGAGCACGCGACACCCACAGTAAAAGCTTTGTTCTCCATCGATGCGGATTCTGGAGAGGTTATAGTCATAGGCGGAATAGATTATGAAAAACACAAGCAGTTTAAAATTAAAGTTAAAGCCAAAGATCATGGCGATCTCACAGACTTAAGTGAGATAATTATTGACGTCATTGATGTGAACGACAACAAGCCCAAAATCACTATAATGTCTTTTTCCAGCGCAGTATCTGAAGACGCTGCACCAGGAACTGTTATAGCCATGATTAATGTTCAAGATCTCGATTCAGGTGACAACAGCAAGATTACATGTTCTATTGATCTGAACTCTCCATTTAAAATCATTTCTTCATTAACTAATTATTACAACCTGGTGACAGACTCAGAACTAGACAGGGAACAGACAGCAGAGTATAATATCACTATAACTGCAGTAGATGGAGGAAACCCACCTCTTTCTATTAAAGAGATTTTAAACTTAAAGATATCAGATGTGAATGATCACGCACCTCAGTTTGTGCAGGAATCATATAATGCCTTTATAGCTGAAAATAACCCACCATCTACGACTATTCTGACTGTCAAAGCAGAAGACATGGACTGGGGGCCGAATGCAAAGGTCTCATACTTTCTTATCGATGCAGATTTAAACGGAGCACCTCTTGCATCTTATATTTCTATAAATTCAGAGAGTGGAGTAGTTTATGCAGAAAAATCTTTTGATTATGAACAACTCAAATCATTCAAAATGCAAGTCAAAGCTCAAGATGGAGGCTCGCCTCCTTTATCCAGTAATGTGACTCTAAACATCATCATTCAAGACCAGAATGACAACGCTCCTCAGGTTCTGTATCCAGTACAGACTGGCGCTTCAGTGGTGGCTGAGATTGTGCCTCGTGCTGCAGATGTTGGATATCTGGTCACTAAAGTTGTGGCTGTTGATGTGGACTCTGGTCAGAATGCCTGGCTCTCCTATAAACTACAGAAAGCTGCAGACAGAGCGCTGTTTGAAGTGGGTTTACAGAATGGAGAAATAAGAACTGTGCGACAAGTGACTGATAAAGATGCTGTCAAACAAAAACTCACTGTTGTTGTGGAGGATAACGGACAGCCCTCTCGCTCAGCTGTGGTCTCCATTAATGTGGCTGTGGCTGACAGCTTTCCTGAAGTGCTGTCAGAGTTCACAGACTTTACGCATGAGAAAAAATATAACGACAGCTTAACTTTTTATTTAGTTCTGGCTCTTGCAGTGGTTTCCCTGCTCTTCATAGTCTCCATTATTTCCATCATTTCAGTCAAAATCTACAGATGGAGGCAGAATAAGTTGTTTTATAAATCAGGAGCAAATCTACCTGTAATTCCATATTATCCTCCGGTCTACGCAGACGGAACATTACAGCACGTTTATAATTATGAAATGTGTGGGACCACAGACTCAAGGATGAGTGACGTAAAGTTTGTCAGGCCCTACAGTCAGAACACACTGGTCAGCCAGAGTCGTTTGGGGACAGTTCAGAGAGAAAAGAAGGAGCAGGAGGTTGATGAGCTGATTTTAGAGGTGAGAGTCTTCCACATACTGTATGTCCTCACAGCAGCAGCAGGTGTTTAAAGCTTAAAGTACTGTACTTCTCATAGAGAATTTGTAAGACATTAAGCTTTATCTGTATGTGTTAGCAGATGTTGTATGTCTTGTTTTGAGAAAATGGACTACATGTTTAGTGTCTTAAGTGCAAAGTTAGAGCATAGAAAACTCAATTGCCCCCACACACACCTACAGTACACACACACACACACACACACACACACACACACACACACACACACACACACACACACACACACACAATCATGTCTGTGTTGTAAATTCTAAATATATTCCATTGGTGTAATTATTTTTATATTATACAAATTGTATTTGCTATCACCTTACATACAACACTACTTATATGAAAACTGCATTTTTACCTTTTCAAAAAACATCATTATATATGATTTAAAAGCTTTTTTGGGAAAAATGTGGACATGGGGCAATGTCCTTATAAGTCATATTCTTCTTGCAACACTTATGCAATACCCAAGCTATTACACATATTTGTTCCCTTATAGGTCATGAAAACACACACACACACACACACACACACACACACACACACACACACACACACACACAGTATAAGAAGAAGAGCAAGAGTGTTTGTTTGTCTGCTTCAAAACTTTTTATGGGCTTTTTCAATATTTTACTCCTTTATAAAACCATGATTTGATGTTTGTCTATAGCAATGGTTGCAAAATGAATTATTTTTCATCCTTATTTTTGTAATTGACTTAGAACTTTGTACACTGAGTGATCTTTTTTCAAGAGAAAACCCATTATATTACACTCATGTGTTATTTTATCCATTTATCTACCTTACACTGACTCATGCTTTATGTTGGATTTAATTGTTTTTCTCTACCTTGTACTTAGATTACTTCAGTCTATCTCATTCAAAACTTAATTTATGGCAGACTAAGTATATATCAAGGCTTTGTGATCCAGCTAATATTCTTCTGCCATTTCTACAGTTTTGCATTCTGGCAATGCTGAAGATTTTTTAAGTTTTCAAAGTCATTACTCAATGCAAAATATTTTTTTTATGGCATTGATGAATCTGTGAATAAAAATCATATGATTTATTAATTGACATACAACATAAACCTTTTACTGACTATTCTGATATTTGTGTGGTACCTCTTTCCAGGTTTAGACTGAACTTAGCATAACTAATGCTTCATTGCTTGCTCCTTTTTGTCGTTTTTCTCGTTCATACTGTTCTCAGAACTTAAATAATGGCACAGTATAACAAAGATTGTCTTCAAGCTAAACTGATTTTGAATATTTTCTAGACAGTACTGCTTGTCGCAAATCGATGTATTCTGTCATTTCAGGAAGTTCAGGGCAATGTAGGCTATACAATTATTTCAATCATGTACATATCTTATAATTGATTAAATTGATGGTTCACCCAAAACTTAAAATGTTTCAAAAATTTACTCACCAATTACCTGTTCCAAACCTGTTTGACTTTCTTCTGTTGAATACACAATACAATATATAGATGAAAGCTGGAAACCTGTAATCATTGATATCTATAGTATTTGTTTTTTCTTATGGAAGTCAATGGTTACAAGTTTTCAGCTTTCTTCAAAATATCTCCTTTATTGTTCAACAAGAAAAAAGAAACTTATAATTGTTTGGAACAATTTTGAGTGTGAGTAAATTGTGAGTAAATTATCATTTTAAGGTGAACTATCCCTTTAAACAAAAAAAATGACTTCCTATTTTTAAAAAATCTGTGAATTTCAATCATAAATCAACTGAAATTCAGTATTTTATGAGAGTGTATTGAAAATGTAAAAAAAAAAAATAATCAGATGACTCTATCATACATTTGTCTGGACTTTATGCTGGATTAGGTATTAATATTACTTGAAAATTTGCTCCTAATATTACTTAATGCTCTCTGTGTGATCACTTATTTTGGCTCTCTATAATGACAGCTTTTTGCCTTTGCTTGATTTAGAATTAACTTTTATTTTATTTATTTTATTTTATTGCTCTGTTTTTATGGATTGTGGACTGCTGAATGAATTTTGAAGGTTTTCTAGATGGAACTATTTGATGCAAAATTTATGTACTGCAATCTCAGAAATGTCAGCGGGCTTTAAAAACACACACACACACACACACACACACACACACACACACACACACACACACACACACACACACACACACACACACACACACACAAAATTATGTTAAAGCTAAAATATATTTCCCAGTATTTTTGAGGTTGTCAAATGTGTGATCCATTTGTTATAACTCTGTCTGTACATATTGTTCCTCTAATTTGAAGTTTCATAACACAACTTATGATATATACTATTGTAATCTTTAAATTCTATATTTTTTTAATTACCTGACTTCTCTGTAGTGCTGTATTTGGACTCTAAGCGCCGCTGTTCAACCTATATAGAATTTCGAAAGCGTGTTTTATCCCTCCTTTTAATAAAACCCAGTGGCATAACTTAGATATCAACCCAGACCATTGGACGGTGCGTAACTGATCATCAAATCGTCTTTCAGATTTGACTCCAGGTTCTGTCATCTAGACGGAAAAGCAATTGTTGGAAACAGGCTTTAACTTGTGTATTTTGCTTTGAATGCAGCATCTCAATCGTTGTTGATCAAAAATGGAGTCGGGAGGAAAAGGTTGGAAACATGGCTCGCTATTCTTCTATGCGTTATGCGCAATGGCTTTATTTTCTTCTCGCGTGAGCGGACAGATCCGTTATTCGATACCTGAGGAAATGCAGATGGGCTCGTTTGTTGGAAATATTGCCTCGGACCTTGGGTTTGAGCCGAAGAGGTTGGTTTCAGGAAAAGCGCGTGTTTTCACCGCGGACAGCAAGGAGTACATTGGCCTGGACAAGGAAAACGGACATCTGGTTATAAGGAATAAAATAGACAGAGAAGAGCTTTGTGGAGAGATTTCTGCCTGCAGTGTGGGTTTTGATGTGATTTTGGAGAATCCGATGGAGCTTTATCGAGTAACAGTTGACATACAAGACATCAATGACAACAGCCCCGTCTTTCCAAAAGCTAAAATTGAACAAGAAATAAGCGAATTAGCGGTTGTAGGTGCGCGATTTCCATTAGAAAGCGCGGTAGACCCAGACGTGGGAGTGAACGCGCTACAAAAATACACTCTTCAACCCACCGACCATTTTAAGCTTAATGTTCAGAAAAGTGCTGGTGGAAATAAAAACGTTGAGATGGTTCTTCATTCTCCTCTCGACAGAGAAAATAAAAAGCATCATAGTTTGATTCTGACAGCATTCGATGGTGGAAAACCGCAAAGGTCCGCAACGTTACTGATTAATATTATTGTTCTAGATGTTAATGACAACGCACCTGTGTTTAGTCAGTCATCTTACAAAACATCAGTTATTGAAAACGTTGCTAAAGGCACACTCGTTACTAAAGTCAGTGCTACCGATGCTGACGAGTCTAGTCACGGCATTCAGTATTATTTTGAGCACGCGACACCCACAGTAAAAGCTTTGTTCTCCATTGACACAAATTCTGGGGAGGTTAAAGTCATGGGTGATATAGATTATGAAAAACACAAACAGTTTACAATTAAAGTTAAAGCTAAAGATCACGGGGGTTTGACCGATACAAGTGAGATAATTATTGACGTCATTGATGTGAACGACAACAAGCCCAAAATCACTATAATGTCTTTTTCCAGCGCAGTATCTGAAGACGCTGCACCAGGAACTGTTATAGCCATGATTAATGTTCAAGATCTCGATTCAGGTGACAACAGCAAGATTACATGTTCGATTGATCTGAACTCTCCATTTAAAATCATTTCTTCATTAACTAATTATTACAACCTGGTGACAGACTCAGAACTAGACAGGGAACAGACAGCAGAGTATAATATCACTATAACTGCAGTAGATGGAGGAAACCCACCTCTTTCTATTAAAGAGATTTTAAACTTAAAGATATCAGATGTGAATGATCATGCACCTCAGTTTGTGCAGGAATCATATAATGCCTTTATAGCTGAAAATAACCCACCATCTACGACTATTCTGACTGTCAAAGCAGAGGACATGGACTGGGGGCCGAATGCAAAGGTCTCATACTTTCTTATCGATGCAGATTTAAACGGAGCACCTCTGGCATCTTATATTTCTATAAATTCAGAGAGTGGAGTAGTTTATGCAGAAAAATCTTTTGATTATGAACAACTCAAATCATTCAAAATGCAAGTCAAAGCTCAAGATGGAGGCTCGCCTCCTTTATCCAGTAATGTGACTCTAAACATCATCATTCAAGACCAGAATGACAACGCTCCTCAGGTTCTGTATCCAGTACAGACTGGCGCTTCAGTGATGGCTGAGATTGTGCCTCGTGCTGCAGATGTTGGATATCTGGTCACTAAAGTGGTGGCTGTTGATGTGGACTCTGGTCAGAATGCCTGGCTCTCCTATAAACTACAGAAAGCTGCAGACAGAGCGCTGTTTGAAGTGGGTTTACAGAATGGAGAAATAAGAACTGTGCGACAAGTGACTGATAAAGATGCTGTCAAACAAAAACTCACTGTTGTTGTGGAGGATAACGGACAGCCCTCTCGCTCAGCTGTGGTCTCCATTAACGTGGCTGTGGCTGACAGCTTTCCTGAAGTGCTGTCAGAGTTCACAGACTTTACGCATGAGAAACAATATAATGACAGCTTAACTTTTTATTTAGTTCTGGCTCTTGCGGTGGTTTCCCTGCTCTTCGTAGTCTCCATTATTTCCATCATTTCAGTCAAAATCTACAGATGGAGGCAGAATAAGTTGTTTTATAAATCAGGAGCAAATCTACCGGTAATTCCATATTATCCTCCGGTCTACGCAGACGGCACATTACAGCACGTTTATAATTATGAAATGTGTGGGACCACAGACTCAAGGATGAGTGACGTGAAGTTTGTCAGGCCCTACAGTCAGAACACACTGGTCAGCCAGAGTCGTGTGGGGACAGTTCAGAGAGAAAAGAAGGAGCAGGAGGTTGATGAGCTGACTTTAGAGGTGAGACTCATGCTTTAGCTGTCATTGCAGCATCAGTATATGAATACCCTGCCCTTACCTTTCAGTTGCTTTTTTTAAAGAGAAAAAAAAAAATATATATATATATATATATATATATATATATATATATATATATATATATATATATATATATATATAATGTATTTTTTTCCAAGAGACTGCATTAGATGTTGATTTATTTTGATACTGTTGAAAAATTAGGTTAAAATGTAGGTTCAGAGGCGAAGCTTCACATACACAGAGAGAGAGCAAGTGAGAGAAGTCTCTGGGCTCTATTTTGAAGGTCCATGCGCAAAACGGAAAGCGCAGGGCGCAAACGCATTTAGGACATGTCAGAATCCATATTTGCTACTTTAAAGATGTGAATCTCCACTTTGCGTCGTGGCACATGGTCTAAAAGGGTTGAGTTTATTTTGTTAATGAGTTATAGGTGTGTTTTGAGAATAAACCAATCAGTCTCATCTCCCACTCCCTTTAAGAGCCAACTGCGTCGCGCCATAAGCGCATTTGCTATTGGTCTGAAAAGGAAGGCGTTCTGAGGCGGACCGCTGGCGCGTTGCTATTTTGAGAAACTAAAATAGATTTTTCATTAGACCAAAACTAACCCGATCTAAACTCCGGCGCAGAGTTGCGCCTCGCTTACGCACTGCTTAATACGCACAAGAGAGCAATAGGCAAATATCTTTACATAGGAAAAAATTTAAATATTAAGGATATATATATATGATATAATAAGAATAGATATAGGATATAAATATAAAGGATTAAAATATTACAAAACATATTATTTTCTAGCCTACATAAATATGAAAAATCACTGCTTTTATGACTTCTTCATCTCGGGAGGCTTTTTCAGTTCATTTATAACAATTTGCTTTTGTATAATGTTATTATTATTAGCAGCATTATG